GATTAGATAATTGCATTAATGAGAAATTGAACAGGTGCTCCTAATAATCCTTTAGGTGAGTGTATAATAACATTTACCTGACCTGCTACTCTTTAAAATTTAGCAAAAGAAGAGGAATCCTGTGTCAGTTTTGCACAAAGCACTGCCCCGTCAATTATCTAAGGTGTCAGTGTGCTTGAGTCTGAAAGGACATATCCACACTCTTCTCCACACTGATAAGACTTTTAAAATAAAGTCCTCTCTCCTTGCTATTAAAATCATCCATGCTACAGTTCTCTACTCCACTCACCTTTTGCATTGGGGTTACATCCAGTCACGACAGTCCATGGGTTTCCTGTGTTTGATTGCCTCTGGGAGAAGCTGGAATCCTCTTAACTGTAGCTGCAGCTCTATTCCAAATAGTGTTTCCAACAAAGGCATCCACCTGTTTTCTGCACCCACTTGTCATCTTCAGGGTCGCAGGGGTCTGGATTCAAGAAGCTATGGGTGCAAGGCAGGGAATAACCCTACGAAGGGGTGCCAACCCATTGCAAGATACATGCACCATTCACAAACACACACACACACACACACAATTTTGTCACTCCAATTAGCCTTAGCATGTTTTTGGACTGTGCGAGGAAAATGTAGTATCCGGAGGAAACCCCAAAATGACACGGGGAGGACATGTAAACTCATACACATACATGGAGCTAGGGCAGAGATTATAAAGAAGCAACAACGCTACCCACTGCATCATCACGCCCGAATCAAGGCCATGTAGATCATAATTTAACCAAGTGTGCTTTTGTTCCTCATATCTTCTGACTAAACATCCAGAACCAGAGATAGCATATTTTATGAAGAACTTTAAACCAACACAATGTTGAATCTAATGTAACACAGAAGTATGGAGAAATATGAGCTTAATTAGGTGAAATGGTAGTTGTCACAACCGATCCTATCCATCCCCTGGTAGGACTGGAAGGAGTCGTTGCTGGTCCTCCGGATCCCTCCTGATTCTCCCCAGGTGTGTCTCTCTCATTATCCTCAACCCTATTTTGCTAACCATCCTTACCTGCATTGTGTCAGCCCTTCATTAGTCCTGTATATAAATTCTTCCCAGTCCTGTGTTCCCCACTCTGGTCATTGATGTCAGTCCTCTGGTTGTCTGTGCCCTTCCCAGTACTAGTATTCTTATTTTGACTCCTTGTTGTCTGGTTCTCTGTTGTTGTTTCATTCAATAAAGCCTCTATTGTCTTCCTGACACCTGTACTTGTTTTTTTGTCATGATAGTAGTCTTAGTACTAAATTGAGCTGAAAAAAAATCTAATTCATATGTTAGAGGGAGATGTAAATCTGGATACATCAAATTTGGACTTAAATGTGCCTTTTTCGAATAATGTACTAATATAAACTCAGTGAGCACTTTATTAGGAACACCTATACAACTGCTTATTCATGCAATTATCTAATCAACCAGCCATGTGGCAGCAATGCAATTTATAAAACGGAGGTGTATAGTTCAGGCCTAGAAAGTAAAAACCCAGACCAAGATTTACAGTAGTTTCAACCAAACAGTTAAGTTTAAAGAGTCACAGCCAGAGAGTACTCACCTGGTTGGTTGAAACAAAATCTTGGTCTGGGTTTTTACTTTTTGGACCAGAACCATCCATTTCTGGCATAAAATCATGCAGACACAGGTCAGGAGGTTTCGCTAATGTTCATATCAAATTCCAGAATCACGATCTATCCAGACTGGTGGTGCTGTTGTAATGATGTGGGGAATGATTTCCTGGCACATATTCGGACTATTAATACCATATATTCCATTGAATGCCACAGCCTATTTGAGTATTTTAGCTGACTATGTGCATCCTTTTATGGCCACATTTTACCCATCTTCTAATGGCTACTTTCAGCATGATAACCACCATGTCACACAGCAAAAGTAATCTCAAACTGGTTTCATGAACATGACAATGAGTTCCATATTCTTCAGTGGCAAATTTGCGGAAACTACATGATGCAATCATGTCAGCATGGAGGAAAATCTCAAAAGAATGTTTCCAACATCAAGTGTTATCTATGCAATGAAGAACTGAGGCTGTATTGAGAGTAAAGGGAAGCTCTCTACCCAGTATTACCAAGGTGCTCCATTTAGCAGCACAGGAATTCTTCTTTCTGTGGCCATTAAACTGTAACTCTCACTCTTTGGGGAGGAGACCTCCATACCAACCCACATCGATCACTGCAAGCACTAGATTCTCACTGCTTCCTTTTAAGAAAATATGGCATCTCATTTCATTTTTATTCTGACGATGCACAAATCTACTTGTCTTTAAAACGGACTGACACTAGTTTTTTTAAAATCATTATTTGACTGCCTTGAAGACATTGAAGAATGGATGGCTCTTAATTTCTTAAATTTCAATGAAAACAAAATGGAGGTTCTTATTTTTAAGCCCAATACCAGTAGTAAATGCCCCAAATTGGACCTTGGTTCCTTAGAACCTTTTAAGTCTTTGGTACGGAACTTGGGTGTAATTATGGATGGCGACTTTAAAATGGACAAGCAAATAAGCTCTGTGGTAAAGTCTAGCTTTTATCAATTAAGACTTTTAACCAAAGTTAAACCCTTTTTAAATCTTAATGATTTCAAGAAGGCCATACACGCTTTTATTACATCACGGCTTGACTACTGCAATGCTCTTTATTTTGGTCTTCCACAGTCACTTTTATCACGGCTACAGTTGGTCCAGAATGCAGCAGCACGACTGCTGACTGGTACTAAAAAGAGAGAACACATTACACCAGTTCTAGCTTCACTCCACTGGCTCCCGGTTCATTTTAGAATACATTTTAAGATTTTATTGATGGCTTTTAAGGCTCTTAATGGGCAAGCCCCACCATACATAGCTTGTTCATCTTCAGCCAGCCCCTAGATCCTTGAAATCTAATGGTAACTCCCTCCTGCACATCCCCCGATCTCAGCTTAAACAGAAGGGTGATAGAGCCTTTGCAATTGCTGTGCCTCGTTTATGGAATTAGTTACCACGTGATATTAAATTTGCTCCAAATACCTCTCCTTTTAAATCTAGGCTTAAAACTTATCTGTTCTCGATCACCTTTCCAGACTTTTAAAGCTATTTCCATTTATGTCTTTTGTTGCTGTTCTGTTGCTTGTTTTTCGTTGCTTTTTTATTATTCTTTTATGATCCTTGTACAGCACTTTGGTGCAGTGTTACAACTGCTTTAAATGTGCTATAGAAATAAACCTGACTTGACTTGACACTTTTTGGACTTTTTAACAATATTTATTAATTGTCTATTTCATTGTTTTTCACGTGTATGCACATTACAGTACCCTTTCTACACCTTGCACTTTAGTTATATTCCATATAATTATATATCATCTTTTTATCCCTTTATTTTCATACTTGCATTTTCCTAGTATTCCACTGGTATGTGGACTTTCATATTTGTACTCTGATTGCTTATGTTATTTTGTGTTATCCTGACTCCCGTGACCCTGAAGAGGACATGCGGATAAAGAAAATGGATGGATTACATGAAAACCCCTACTACATGCTCCTGAAAGCATGTAGCCCTGAAGACAACCCAGTGTACAAACAGCATCACAAGTACCCCCAAAATACCCCATTTAGGTCAGCTTATGACTTCATATTATGATCTATGTGCATGAGTGTGTGACTGAAATAGACTGTCTTGCTACACAGAATTCAGCCTTATGGGCTACTGTCCCCTTTTCGGAGAAAGATCTGTATGAAAGCAGACTGAAAAAGTCACCCTTGAAAAAGGTACCAGTTAAGCAAACAAGTATGGCACCGCTGCCCGGTTCTTTGCTGTCATTTCCCTGCCATTTGCCTTCCTCATTGTAATGTTCCCATTTGCAATGCAGCCCACCCTCTACCTCTGAGCAACAATTATCATTCTTTAAAGCCCATTAGGAGCCCAGAGGGAGCATCTGGAATGAGTCAGTGTTGGCTCAAGTGGGCTGCTTCTGACAGATGGTGAAGTCTGTCCTCAGTGCTAGAAGGAGGTGCTTACAATCCCATTCCCACTGTCAGAGTCATTTGATGTGAATGGTGGGCTGGAGCTCGGATCATATCTCGATTTCAGTGGAGACTGTGGGTCAGTGCTTCCAATGGGTGATGATACAAAATTTTAAGGTGGATTGGAATGTTGGAATGTCCCATGAAAAGTTTAAACACGTGCCACCTACCCCTAATACATCTGAAATTTTTTGCAATTTGTTGTTCCATTATTGTAGTTCCCAGATAGGGAATACATATGGCTTTGGGAATGGTCTGCTGTCGCTTGCATGTCCTGATTTCCCCGAGTTCAACATGCCCCTGGGTCGACAAGGGAGGGGCTTGTGTTTCACTTGTTTAACCAATCACAGTCTTCATTGTATTTAATTAAGCAGCATGATGCAGAAATTTCTAACGTATGCTTTGTATTGTGTATGCCTTTTGTTAAGGGACATGTCATAGATTCAAAACATAGGAACCTGCTTACCTGCACAAGCTGTACAGAACAATGTAAGGGAGATTAAGGACCTTGCTGAAGGATCCACAGACATGGGGTTATTCTGCCAAGACTGGGCTCAAACCAGCGAGCATCCAAACACAGGCACAGAGGCTAAGTCCACTAATGAAGATTGTGATTGGTTAAAGAAGTGAAATGCAAGCCCCTCCTTTGTTAACTCTGGAACGTGTTGAACTTGAGAAAATCAAGATCTCAGCAGAGGCTTTGCTTGTTAAGACAATAACTCAAAAAACAATTGATTGATCTTTTTCTAACTTTGCTGAAGCATTGTGCCCAACTGGAACTAAATTTTTTAAACAGATACCACCAACACTGAAGAAACACCGCTTAGTGGCAGCAAAGAGAATGGTGAAAGCAGACAACTGTTAACCTTGTGAATGTGGTAAGTTAAAAAGTATTTGGCAGTGTGGCAGTGAAGGAAAGAAATCACAGCTGTAGAAGACACTTGGTTCTGTGAACTCAGTAAATCTAAAAGTATTTCATGGATTTTTTTCAAACTTTGCAGGCACATTATAAGGGTGACAAAATTTGAAGTGATCAAATTTTGAGACAGACCCAAATTGAAACAGTGCTGCATATTTATACAAAAATGGTAATTTCAGACATTTGATCCCATTAACACGATGTCTCAAAAAGTATTTGACAGCTGTTTTTGAACCGTGCTAGTCACATGTTGTAAGGGTGAAGTTCTGGACAGGATCAAATTTTGAGACAAAGCGCACCTAAATTGAAGCAATACCATATAGTGATAGCAAGAAATTGATATACTTTAAGTGAAAGAGCCGTGAGTTAAAATATATTTTGATTATTTGTTGTAGCTAACCCACTTTATATGCTGTACCTAAGAATGGTAATTGTTTTGTAAAGTCTTTTTTATTGCACAAAAGGAATACGTCAGTGTAGTCATGCAATTAAGTCTTTTGATAACTGTGAGAATTGTTTGCACACATCTTGTATATTGCATGACAGCCCTGTATTGAAAGAACAAAATACTATGACACAATGAGGAAATACGATAAGGTTCTGAAAAGGCAGATTAATTCAATTTAATTCTTCAGTTGTCAGTAGCTGCCATTTAAGGGGCATATTGATAATGAAAACTCCACAGCAAAGGAAACTATAGATGTGCTTGACAAGATTTTGGCTTTTATTGTTTGTCTGTCTTGTAACGTAATGTACAACTGTGTGATATACTCATTGAAATAAAAGACAAATTCATAAAAAACTACCTGATATGTAAACATGTAAATGGTAACTAAATGTCCACAACGCATATCTTTTGTCCACATAAAAATGTACAGGCAAATAAATTTGGCTCCATATATACCACTTGTTACAATTCTTATTGTTATGTCATGGAAAATGTTGGTCATAGTACAGATGAAAAATAAATAGAACAAAATCCTCAAGTTCATGAAAATGACCTACATTCTAATATTGTTTAATGGTTTAACTTAAACTTGTAATGTACTGAAGATGATTTATTTAAAAAATACTATTTTCAAGCAAGTACAAGCTGAGTTTCAATGATTTCAAGAAGGCTTTCAAAAGCAAAATACCTTGCAGGTGTATCAACACACTATTTAATTCAGATCAAGTTATCAATCTCAAAAGTAAAACCTATTAGCTAAGTGCCTGTAAAACAGAAGCCTGATAATCACTGAAAGTGTACATAAAAACATGAAAGATCTTAAGATTTTAATGCACAAGCCTTCAATAAAATAAAAGAAATATGGCAAATTACATTATGTGTATCATATTTACAGATGTAGACAAATTTGTTGACACCCATCCACAAAAAAGAACCCACAACTTGCTCTGAAACAAAAGTTAATGGCATCCATCATTGTTTATTCCAGGTTTAACACAAGTCAGTTACTGCTTTTGGTTTTCATTCTAGTCTTGAGAATTCAGTCAGATGCAGTAAAGCAGCCCAAAACATAACCAAGCCTGTGGCAGATGGAGTTCAGCTTGAATGACTTTGGATGTTTTTCTTGGTTCTTTTTCTATCATCCGCACTATCCTTCTGATCATCCTGGGGTTGCATTTCCTCTTGTGGCCACGTCGTTGGAGGTTGGCTACAGTCCCATCAACCTTATATGGTTCATTTTTGCAGCTGTAGTCACAGTAACATGCAGCTGCTCGGAAATGGTCTTATATCCTTTAGCTTTAACATGGTTATCTACAATATTCTTTCCGAGCTCCCCAGACAGCTCTCTCCTGTGCTTTTGTTGATCCATATTCAGTGTGGTGCACAGAATGATACCAAACCAAACTACACAAGTTTTCTTATTTAGTATCATAGGTGTCTTCAATCTTTATATCAGCCATTCAGCATTTTTAAAGTGAGAAAACTTGCCAACTTGCACCACACTGAAGATGAATCAGCGAAAGCCAAGTTATCAGGCTGAATAGATGTTTTTACCATGGAAACAGAATATTATTTATTATATCCCAAGAAGGATGTAGACCACAAACAGCATGCTATTTAGTTTAATCATTTTTAAAGTGTGTATTAAAAACATTTGTTACATTTCTTAATGTGATATTTTAAGTACAGTATGTATAATTTGCTTTGCAAAACATTTAGCTAACAAGTCCATATTTAAACATTTTGATTTAAAAGTGTACTATCGGCTCCTGTGATGGCGCTAGGGTGCTGTGCAACTTTCCAATGTTATAAAGCACTTTGATTTAAAATGTTTAAGTTTAATAATTAATAATAATTGATACTTTATTGATCCCCATGGGGAAATTGTTTTTACGCCTCCCTCAACTTACTCTTTGTAGAGCAAGCTGTCCGCGAAGGGCAGCCACCTGTAGCGGCACCCAGGGAGCTGGGGATTGAGGGTCTTGCTTGTAGGAATTAATAGCTCAAATAAATTTTTATATTCTCCACCAATATGTTTGAATTAATTAAAGTTTAATTAATTATTATTTAATGCCGATTATTAATCAATTGTTATGCCGAATGGTCGGCTCCTCCAAACTCGATTGCGGTATCCCCGTGAGTCTGTTAATGTGAGACTTAAATGGGATTCACTAATTACCAGTATCACTTAGTAACCTGGGTTAGAAGGCGCGTCCACCGAGCTGCGTCACCAGGTAATGTAAACAATTGGTAGCGGAGAGTCTCGCAACGTTCCAGGCGAGTTTGAGGTTCAGAGCGTG